CACTCTCACTCACACTCACACGCACATGCACACTCACACTCACTCACCACCACCGCCACCGTCACCACAATCCCCACCTTCATCACCACCATCACCTGTCTGGACCCCAATGCGTTTAGATCTCTGGACTTTCTGCTTATAGACCTCACACACACTGTTTGGGGTCTCTTGCGGGATAATTTTTGGCTCATGCGCCATATTCTGCGTCCCGTTTCTATGTGCAATCTTAGTGTGAATTATTTTAACTTTGGGACAGCCATCCAGTTTCAGTCTGAGGTGTCAGGAACTTTCGCTCTGTCAGCCCATTGCGCGCACTCCACAGCTCCTTGCTCTACGACATCATGGCCCATCAGTGATCTCACAAGTGCTGTCCCTGCCACGAAATCAGCGCTTCGAGGTTCACCAAGTGCCGTGCCTGCCACGAAATCTGCACTGACAGGTTCACCAAATGCTGGGCCTGCCACGAAATCTGCACTTGGAGGTTCACCAAGTGCTGTACCTGCCACGATCCTACGCTCAATTGCCATAATATTGGAACAGCCATATGTTCCTTGTGGTTTGGTTTTCCAGGGGGCCATCCCGCTCAACAAGAATCAGTGGTGTTCGTTGGCTTCTTCAATCTGCAGTTGTGTTTTTTTTTCACATGGCGTTACCGTTGGCCAGGCCCTTGGTGGATTGTGTCATCGTGGACTGCGGGGCCCAAGGCCCAATGGGCGTTGGAGGGGAGTTCAGGGTTTCGTCCGGAGCGTCTCGACGAAGCCCCCAGGCTGCCCGAATGGAACCCGGGTGCTTCCCGAGCGGCATCAAGAAGGGACGCAACCCCTGAGTTCGCAGACCATTCCCTGCATGAGTCCCCATGCAATCCATGGGACGTCCGGCGTCCGGATATTTATGACTCATATCATTTAACTCATTAAAACCACCGCCCAAGTGGTACTTGTACGGCAAATCTTCCAGTAGGAGTTTTTTTTTCCCCTATTAGTAAATCGATCCCTTTCTTGCTTTGATTTTTAAATTCCAGGTACCTCAAGCAAATCCAAGTATAGCATGCTCAATTGGCACCGGAGCATTTCCGAAGGCGGTCGCAGAGTCGCAGACCTATCCGATCCTATCGCATGCGTTCGCCGATCCGATCGCGGAGTCGGGTCGAACCATGAGCAAAAACGCTCGGTGCCAGACGCTCCGTGACCCATTTTCCCGGTCCCTCAAATGCTTTCGGGTCCGATCCCCTGGTGCCATATGAGGGAGGAAACAAAAGTGGTTTGAGTATGAAGTGTTTGCCGATTTGGGGTGGTTGGTTTCAGGGGTCCATATGTATTGGATTCCATACATGGAGCATCATGGAGCAGCTTTTCAACGATCACACCAGGCTCCACTGCGCTCTTTTCAAGGAATTTGTCCATTTCGGCTAGACGTCGAGGCACACCTGCAACACCTCGACATGAGCGCTCTTTGCACCGACTCTGACTTCCATAGGGGATTGGAGTTTCAAATTAGAGTAGTTCGGAAAATGGGTGTCTAGGGTGTGGCCCAGCAAACCAGAAACAGTCAGTAAAGGAAAATCCACTGTTACTGGTAATTGGATATATATATATATATGATTATACCGGAGTCTCCAAGTACTTCCAAAAAACATACAGTCAGACCTGTTTAAAATGGGCCATGTCCATGTCCCATTTTCTAGGATACTTGAAGTCAGGTCTAGGTACAATACCTGAGTCACAGGTACTAGTTCAGGTCTAGGTCTAGGGGACTGTTCCACAGTCAGGTCTAGGTATACCGGTCTAGGTTCAATAGCACCTTGGAGGCTTTCTCGGTGGATCCAAAGAGCCCACAGAAGATGAGCTCGCTACGCGAACCTGAGGATCCAGTGGTGGAGCGGGGTGTTTGCCATCAAATCCTTGAACCTTCTCCCTCTGCCCCCGGGGTGTGGACCCGAACCAAGTCCTTTCCATATCACCAGTGGCCCGAACCAAACCATGAAAAAACACAGGTGGTCACATACAAAAACCATGTTTTTTGCTGGAGAACACCTGGTCTTTGATGGTTTGTGGGGAAGAATAGTAGGGTCCGAATTAAAAAGGATCACCGTGGTCGGCCCTCCAGGTGCTGCCACGCCGGCATGACCGACCGCTGCAGAAGATGCGAAACAAGTCACAATGCTGCTAGTGCTCGTTCCACTGAAGGCGATCAGCTTTGCGCAATCTACCTGGATAATCTCAACTATGCAAAAAAGTCTGCCGAACTTGGCTAGTTTACAGATGAAAAAACATAAATTGTGCGCAGCTTGAAGATCCAGGTAGAAGATATACTATGTTGTGCGGAAATGTCATGTTTTTTATTCTTCCGATACCTTTGTGAACTCTTCTTGTGGGTACGCTTTAAGCCAGAAGCGATCACAGTCATGGCCTGGTAGGTGGACCATGTTTGCTATATGGTCTATTCCAGCTATTCCGTTCATTTTTGCTGGTCAACCAGGTTGCAAAAAGAAAGAAAATACGATACATTATAAGGATCTTGCTTGGCTCCTTTGTCATCAATACACCGTTTTGACCGGACAATTCCATCCATCAGCTCGTGAACACGCGGGCGGAATCGATGCGAGCGTTGGCTCAAAGCGGGTCGTGAACGGATGTGCAACATGGAAGAAACATGCGCTTCACAGCCAGTGGAGAACCTGCAACACCTTTTGGGGGGGGCAATGGGTTTCCCCACTTAAGGTCAACATACTATATTATTTGTATTATATTTAGTTAACATGATCGTTTATAGGGACCATAGGGAGAAGAACCTTGATTGCATGAACATGGACACCATGTGCCTGCCAAATAGAATGCAGTTCGGATGATTCTGATGGCGCACCCAATTTACAGCTCAGGTTCCATCTGTTCAACCAGCATCGATCCAAATAAGATCAGGAACCACTCCATGACTGTCTACCTGTGGCCGCCACAAACTCGATGGTCGGTTTCAGGAAGGACCTTTTGAAGATCCTTATCTCTTGCCGGATAGAGATCTAGCAAGATCCTTATCTCTTGCCGGATAGATATCTTATATTACAGATCTTTATCTCTTTCTTGGTACGGCTAGCCTTTACTATAAGAGTTTGAGACTAGAAGACCGGTCGACGGCGGGCTTTCAGTCCTTGGTTTATGGTCTCTTCTTGGTCGCGAAGTGCTTCGACCCAGGTGGTCCTTTCACATGCTTTGGGCGAAGTCCTTATAGCTCCTTAGGTCATTAATTGGGCTGAAAAACAACAGCTGAACGTTTGCTCGAACATGCTGAAGGCTCAGAGGGTACATCAGCTTGGCGGCTCGCCCTCTGGTTCGCCGTACGCCGTGCCTCATGGTCTAACGTGGCCATATGGCTGAGGTGGGATCTGTCGAGTCACACGTGTTGTTCCGGAACACACGCCTATGAGATACAGGAAAGTCTATTGTGGAGAAGCCATAGACAACTTTCAATCAAAGAAGTAATGTAAGACTCTTGATTGATAAACCCTCTTCCATTTGGATTGCAACACCTCTTCATATGGGGGGTTAATTAATCAAGAGTCCACATTAGCCAGATCTTTGTTCGTCATGTTCCTATGATCAACTTTTACATTACAGTAAATCAGGATCATTACATTGCATGACAACCCTGGTCATGGGACTCACTTAACCTGTCCCGGAGCTGTGACGCATGTGACGATGCAGGTGAGTGAAAGAAGGGAACATCTCGATGGCCCTTGCTGTCAGACTGATTCCTTCAGGGGGGTTGGACATAGGGGGGCATTGCCCATCCCTGACCATCCATGTATAGAATAGCTATATAACCTATAAATGAGGTTCGGTGAGAAGGGAAACACTGAGATTTGTAGGTGGTCTGGCTTGGGTCCAGGAGGATACCGAACCTGAGGTTTGGTACGGACTAACGGATCCCTAGGGCAGTCGGCCAACTCGGGAACGTTCTCCTCCGGCGCCCTACGCTGGTGCGCATTTGGTGCGCACCAGCGTCGGCCTTCAGCACCTATTGGGACTTTACTTGGCGGTTTGAAGCAGTCGGCCCGTTGAAATGGACGTGTATTCTGTTTGCAGGGGATTCCTATAGAAGACTCCACCAACGTCACAGGCCGAGGTCACGCTTCAACCTGCGATATGTTGACCGTTAGTTGACCCACCCCGGGGTGGCAGCTTCTTGATTGATGGGGTGGTGGCATACGGGGGGGTTGAAACGGATTGGCATTCAGCGATCTTACAACGAAATTTCGGCCGCACTCGGTCTCTCAAACGAGCACAGATCCAGGTATCTCTTTTTAGACACGACTATTGCGACTGGAACGAAAAAGCGCGGACAGAACGACCCCTGGTACCAACCACCCCTGGTACGAACGCAGTTCCATGCCGTGGTTGTGAGGTCTGTCAATATAGGAGCCACGAGCTTGTGAGCTTGTGAGCTCGTGAGGTCGGGACCGAGACGAAAGACCCGTTTTGAATCGTGGCCCAGGACCTTCTGTCAGTGACCTCTTTGGAGTCTGACCTCTTTCAGTGACCTCTTCAGGGACGGACTGTCTGACAGACTGTGACCTCATGATATTCTGAGATCTCAAGGACGGTCACGTACTGAAGGTCCTGGGCCCACCATGTTTACGCTACAAAGCCAGATCAACCATTTTAAGCATGGTCGATCGGACTTCCAGGGGAGGGTATACGGATGTGCTTGCCATCGCCACGTGTGTGTTGGCCGTCGCCGCTGAGAAGCATCGTCAAAACCATGGCCATGGTCAAGCACCAGAGTAACTGAGCCAGCTCCTCCCAGCACCTCCTGGTTTTTTGTTTTCGTTTTTGGAGTGAAGCCCCAATGATCTGGGGAAGAGATTCTATTGGTTCCCGGCTTCCAAAAGAAGCAAATCCAACCCAAACACTCCATGTACATATTAATATGGAAGCAAGTAACCCTCCTCTGAAAGTAGTAGCTCCAGAGAGTTGCAAAACCAGATGTCCGATGTCCTCAACCAGACGTCCGGCGTTCGAACAAAGAGGGTGCATGGTTCACGACGACCGACCAAGAGCCCCTCCTATCAAAAGAGGTCGACAAACGAAAGACCACGAGCTCGCCCCGGTCGATGCGAATCTTAGGACCCTCCATGGTTATGAAGGGGGTCCGGACCCCGCAATATTCCCCAGGTTTGGAGGGCCGCACGGTCGGCCGAATTCACGGCCTGAACGGGTATCGTAGCAAGGTTGACCTGGTATCGCCTCAAAATGCGCAAAACAATGCGGTCCAAAAATACAGAACCATCAGCTGCATTCAATTGCTATAGTCCAAAACAGGTCCTGTTCGGCTCGTCGACGATCCTTCAGCTCGGCTCACCGTGGGCCACGCGCGTGCCAATGGCGGACGCGCAAAGACCACACTGGGTCGGGCCACTCAGAGTTCACGGCGATTGGACTGGCGGACCGTGGAAATCGGTGTTCTAGGCGGTGGGCATGGCATGGATTGTTTCATGGCTTTTTGTATGTGTTTGTTGCTTTGTAGGAAGTGCCTTCAGCACTCAGCATACAGTTGCTTTCCAGGAAGCCTTTTCCTGCTTTGTTGCTTGGTTGGTGGGTGTGTCAGTCGTACTGTTGTGTGTCCCTTTTGGGGGGGATGGTTTCCCCTATGAATTCCCAGATGTAGAAAAAGGCATCAAAAGGCTAACCTATTTGGTTCCTTTCAGGACACGGCTCGGGAGTGTGACTCACTCTCCACACCGGTCGTGTCGCAGAACGCTGCCTGCCTCACAGCGCAGAACAGTGGCGAAGACACGACCGGTGGTGAGCTCGCTAACCCGTTGAATCAGAGTTTTGCTCAGTTTAGCCTGTACAGAATCCCCTAAGGCATCCTAAGGCCCTAAATATATAGATATAGATACAAACAAATTCCCACTAGGAATGTATTGGACACCGTGCCACGGTCATCCATTTGGGGGACCGCTTTACATCGAACTGACCTTGACCAATAGGCCCACGGTACAAAGCTCAACGACGTACAGGATTTGCATGCTGCCCCCCAAAGCTTTGAGGGGGGGCATCATATATAGTTCAATTTCATTTATCTAGCGCATAGGCGCATAGGCTTGGGATTTCTCTAGTCTTTTGCCTCAGTGAAGTAAAGGAAGGTCGTAAAGAGGGACTTTAGGGGTCATTTAGTCGGACCATCACAAGGATTTGCCTTTGGATGACTGGAAGTTTCGCCGACCTGGACAACACTCGAAGTCCAATGTGAAGATGTGTGCACAATAGAGAGAGAGAGAGAGAGTACTTCGCCTACTTCGCCACTTGAACCGACCACCCTGACCTGTTGGTCCAGTCTGACCTCTTGGTCCAGTTGACCTGTTGGTCCTGGAAACCTCAAACAGAGCAGTCTGTTTTTGGTATGACCAACTCCACCCTTGGGATCCAAGTACCTTCTGGGCCATCCAAACCTACATAACAGTGTCTCCAATCACCATCTGGAGAAGGTACGACTGGATCCCTAGGGCCAGTATACTGAGGTCACACTGACCATCTTTGGACCTACAAGGGTGGATTGTTGGCTTTGAAGAAGAGGTGCACTGCGTCGTTGCAAGTCCTCTAGCAAGGTCCCGCCATCACACATCGAGGATCTCTACAACAGGACAACCGAAACCAGCGAAGATTGGATGGATCTTTTCTGAACAACCATTAGCTTTGCTAAGGATTCGACACTCAACCAGCTCAACCTTTCTTGAAATCGTCTTTGAAGGCTAGGGATTACTTACCCAGGCTGGGGGACAACACGACAACACAACAATCACCTGGATCCGGACCCAAAGCAACAATTAGGGGCCCCTTCGGGGGCCTCAAAACGACCCGTGCAAACTATGGAGGGTCCATACGGATTCTTAGGGAAGAGCATATAGCTTGCATCAAACTCCATGTACCTCCATGTACCAGGACCTTCAGTTCGTGACCTCAGAAAGGAGTCTCTGTTTGTGACCTTGTACAGACCTGTTTGTGCCCTCATCCTGGGATATCAAAGGGTCACGTACTGAAGGTCCTGGTATATGTCATATGAGTCATATATACCTACATTGGGGGGTGGTTTGAGGGGTGAATGTATAAAAAGGTGAATGTATAGAAACAATCCATACATATCCATACATGGATGCTCTGGGGATCTCCGGCCTGGTCAAAACCCTCGCTTCGCTGGGTGTTTTGTTCACGTGAGGACTGAGGACTGAGGACTCACTAGTCGAACTCATTGGGGCTGACCACAGGACATCCCAGAAACGGATGGTTGAACCATCTGCCAGGCACTCCATGTATGCCACATATGGTTTGGGAGGTCAATGTACAGGCATACATGGCAGTCCCATGGAGTGTTTGGGTCTTGAACCCTGGTGGAGTGCATGTGGTGCACGATCGGGAGACTGGTCATCCTTTGCTGATGGGCTGGACTTGTTAATGTTCACCAGTCGATCCCCCCCCAAAGACCAGCTGTGATTCTCAGCTATCTAAATCAACCCTTGAGCCTAGAAAATCCTACAGTCCTAACCTTAAACTTATAAAAAAGGCGCGGGTACGACTGCACCTATTTTCCGAGATACGAACGGGTCGACCAAACAAGTCATTCAAAGCCGCTTTCGGCTCACGATGGACCATCCATTAGGCCTCTCACCAGGCTGGACGGATGCGACTACCCACTGCTTGACGGATGCTCATTTTGAGGTCACAGAGGTGGGAAGCACTTGTCAAATAGGTCCAATGTTTGTTCATCTCCAATGTTTGGAGCCTGCAAGCATGGTCTTGTGCGCGACTGAGTTGATATATCGCCTCTGATCCAGTGATGAACACAGACGATGAAACACATCCTTGAACTCTGCCAAGCCTCCAAAGAGCAGACGCTGGTTTCTTGAGGAACACACAGGTTGTTTGCATGATCTCATGTCGATAGGTCCAAGGGTTCCGGAGCGACACGCCGGAGCATCACACACCTGGACAGTATGGCCTGTGTTTCTTTTATACATGGGGGTCATGTCCCATTCCAGGCGCACAAAACCAAAGAAAGAACACTGAATCACTGAATCAGGTAGCTGCCCTACCCAGAGTGAAACTGGCCCAAACCCCATGTCTGTTCCGCACTCAGCAGCCCAGACGTTCCGTGATGATGGCCAAATCCAGAACCCGGGCTCAACCCGAGGATTCGATTCCAGGAGTGTCGATGGCTGGTTGTCTAGCTGGTCCTCCCGGTCCCTGTTGACTCAAAGCCTAGGCATTGGATGGGATTGGTTAGAACCCCCAGACCCCTGTGAGGGTCCAGCTCTTTTTGGGGTGCTGGTCTTCTTTCACTTCGTTGATCCTCTTCGACCTGCGATCAAGATCACCTTTCACCGCGGGCACCCACCGCGACCTGCGGGCCTGCCGTCCGCCGTGCAGGACGGACGGGAACCAGTTCGCCGGCATCAATCAGCCGACCGCAGGTCCCAGATACGAGGCCGACATGTGATCTTCCTGTTTGCGCGGTCGGTTGGATGGTGCGGCGTGGATGTGGCGTACCGGACCCGGTTTGGTGCTCGACTGGACCCGACTGGCACCACCTGACAAGTCCCGTTCTCCCACCGAACCGAAGACAGTTCCCTGGAGCCCGTAGAGGTACGTGCATGTGAGGTGGCTGCTGTGCCTGGTTTTTAAGGGCGACCTCCCAAAGACAAAGACCCCTCTACCAGCACCTTCCAACAGGTTGTTTGGAGACCCTAACAGGTGGTTTCTGGGCACCTGTTGTCACCAGGAAGCACCTGTGAAGTCGGGTGCTGGTATAGAAGTCCGAATCGATTTTTGGGTCACCCAATATGGCCCAGATGCTCCAGTCACAGGCCGAATGGGCCTTGAGGAACCCCAGACACCCTCCAAGAATGAGGATCCGGCCCCCAGCTCCATGCACGCTGGGGTCCATGAGTGTGTGTGCAGGACATTTGCAACATGTATACCCTCCCTGGCACAAACATGGAACTAGACACCCCCCCTGTTAGAGGAACACTTCTTTTGCAGGGGCCATAATTGTCGACTTCCATGTTTGTTGCAGGAAGGTTATGAACGATTACAACACATAGCGACACAGTACATATATTTATAGTCACACCGTGGTTTATACATGTCGAATTTTTACTGCTCGATTTGAGTGAGACGACGGCTCAATTTCCAGGGGTGAAGTCAAAAGCCTCAATCAACCACTTGGCACAAACCAACACTGTTTCTTCAACGGTCTTCAACGGTTGTTTTGGTTTGCCAAACATTTGTCTTTTTTTCATGAACCAACTTCTGAGAGGTGCAAACATATATACTATATAGATTGTTTTAGTTATTGTGTTTCTCATGTTCTTTCCACTGGCGCATCTTGGGTGTTTTTCCGCTCCAGAAGGGGTGCCTTTGCAAAGTTTGGAAGGAATCACGCGAGAGGAGAGAGGTCAATGTTGTTCTCGACACAACACATTGGTAGGTTGCCTTGCTTTGGTCGCATGCATACAGTACTTGTTAAATCTACGATCACCAAGGACAAAAAGGTGTAGTGAATTGAGGTCCGATCCGCGTTTGGGTGGTGTATACTCGATGATCCGAATCTGCGGTAGGCAGAGCTTCCCAAAGGTTCGGCTCCTTTGCAGCCTGGGCCCTTGGATTGGCGCGAGGTCGGCGCGGTCGGTCTTCGTCCGACATCTAGCTTGGATCACTGCCGGCCTCCTATCCACGGTGATGTGTTCGACACTTTGATTTGAACGGTCGCCAGGAGGGTCCAGCAGGAGACCGAACCTGAGCCTCCCATGACTCGTTTGGTTTCATTCGTACTCACTGAAACCTTCGACCATTTGCTTAAAAGGACTGCGAATACTTTCCTGGGACTGGCATATTGTCCATTTTGGGTGATTTAAGATGTTTTAAGGGTCAATGAGTCAAGGTGGATAAATATTCCATATATACATCCGTAATGTACATGGATGGTGTGGAAATAAGTTTCAAGCTGGCATCAAATTGGCGCGGCATGTTGGCTGAGGCAATGAAAGTCTGGCATTTGTCACATACCCCTTGATGCCCGACTCCTCATGCACAGCACCTCTTTGACAAGACAACTTCCCAAAACTTTGAGAATTGTTTGCACAAAGTCGTTCTTTATCCAAGAGGATTGCTCTGTAAGATTCCTGAACGGCACATGTGGCATGACTTACTCAGCAGCAGACACACACACACACAACACATATTACATATTATATACACAAACAATACATAATTGGGTTTGTGCTCCCCCCCATTTGTTCATTGTCATGTCCTGCTTTAAGTCTACCACACCCTCCCCCAAAAAACAAAACATTATTCTATATTCAAATTCCTAAACATACTACTTCGCTCAGTGGTTGCTGCTCCTCCCTTGCAAGCCGCTCCTCGAAAAACATGTTCTTTGCTGTGCCGCCGAAGCATGGAGCGGCTGTTGGTCGTAGTGAAGGAATTGCAGGAGATCAATGCACATCGTAAAGGAGACCCACAGGACGCGACACTGTCGCTGTTTGGGCGCTTTGTTTCCGCCAGTCACTCTTCGGACAGGCGCATGTCTGACCTGTTGGTCCGTACCCAGGTCCTTCCTGACCTCCTTGTTCGTAGTGTTTTTTGTATGATCAACTTGAAGCCCTATGGATCCACATACCTTCTGAGGTACGGTGATTGGAGACTATTTATATAATATAGGCTCTCCACCTTCTGAGAAGATATGTGAATCCATAGCGACCGCCTTGCCAGGTCCTTCCAAACCTAGGCATTGCCTCGGGGCCAGTTTCCCCCCCAAAAACCCGAAGGACACCCGTGCTGGTCAGGCGAAGAACGTATCTGAGACACAGCATCCGTGCCGTTCTGGACCCGTATACCCCTTTGGGCTCCGGTCCCACATCCAAAACGAAGGACGAAGGTTGGCACAGACACCCCCAAAACCTAATTACCCCAGTCCCACCAAGCCGTTTCGGAGGTGGTACAGGAGCCCCAAAGGACCAAAGGTGCCTCGGGTACCATCCACGGCCGTTCGAACAGACCGGCTACTTCATGGAACAGTGTAACAGCTCACATGACCTCCGCACAAAACAGGTACGACTGGACCTGGACCCTCCAAGGACCTCAGAGTGCATGGTGAACTGATGAAACCTTCAGAATTGGGCACAAGATGGTGCAAGCACCTTCATTGGACCAACCAGGGCCGCTCGACTTCGCCAGGACCTCGTGCGAGGGCAGCTCTTTCGCGCCCACTGCGTCGCGCGGCTGCGCGAGGTGAGCGCGGCGATCGGTCACGGCGCGGACAGCGCGCGGCACCGCGCGTTGCTTCACGTGGAGCCAAACGTGGAGAAGCTGCAGCAGAGCCTTCAGGCGCTTGAGGAAGAGTTGCGCCTTGGACAGGCGAAGAAGTGGGCGAGGAATTGGGACTGATCGGGGTGGGGTTCAGATGTCTTCAGTCTCCTGTACGAGCTCCAAGTACCTTCTGAGGAGATCCACGGGGCCCTAGGGGCAGCACGCAGAAGGGGTGCTTATGGACACCCCTCAAATGAGCCTTTGAGTGGTTGGGTGCACCGGGTGGGAGCGCCGGTCTTTGTTCATTTTAACGTTCTTTAAAGGATCATGTCATGCTGATATTGTGTGTCTTATCTTTTTGACTTCTTGTGTCTTCTCACCCCATTCCTTTTCATTTTGTTACATCATAGATCATCATAGCTGCACTTAACCTATAGATGGACCCAGCAGATCAATCACCGACAGATCACGACTGATTTGCCGCGGGGTTGCCGTAGTGGACCCGTTTCCGTTGACGCTCCCTACTCAGGCAGGCCTTACAGGCCGTTGCCTTAGAAGCGGATCGTCGGAAGATGGAGCTCTTGAAGCTGGGCAGATCGCCGAGGTGGTTGGAGGAGTGAGGAGGTACTTGGTACACCTTCTCAGGTAATTACTGTGGTACTTGGATCCTCGGGACAGTGGAATGAGTGGATGTCGTATTCTGAGCACTCCAACTTCCTACCCTCCATTAAGAACCCTTTGGGATCCTTTTGGAACATGCTATATCACCCTGTGACCCTCCGTTTCATCGGCGTTTCGTTTCCCTTCGTCCGGTGGCTCCAACGCTCAGGACCGCTCAGATGGGCCTATTGCGACCCGCTCGGGGTCCCGAGGCGACCGCTCCACGTGTGGCGATGGCTTCGGGGAAGATGCGGATCACGCTACACATCGAAACGCTGGGCGGGGCCTCGTTCCAGGCGGGGAGGAGGGGGAGGAAATGAGCTTGAAAGTTGTTGAGCTTTTGGGGGCGCGAAGTGTGGGTCAGTTGGAAGGGAGCAACTGACTGACGACGCGAGCACCAGCCAGTGGTTGTTTGTTTGTTTGTTTTTTGGAAGTCAGGTTACAGTTTCCGGACCGCAGTGCGGGCTCCCAACACCACCGGGGCAAATAGTCCCAGAGGCTTCGTTCACAACCCCACCGGTTCCTGAAAAGCTTACCCTAAGAATCCCTAAGAATCATTGACCCCTGAAGCCACCCCAATGTAGGTCAATATGCCAGTCCCATGGATTGTTAGGGCTGGGATTGGTGGTTTCCACAAAGCTCGGACGGCTCGTCTGGGTACGGTCGACCGGTCCGGGGGTCGACCAGTGAGTTCAGGTGCCCTGTACGCTGGATGAGCGTCTCGTGGATGTCAAGCAATACATCTCCCGCTGTGGCGGACCCCCTGCGAGGGACTTGCAGCTCCTGTGGAGGCGTCACGAAGCTTCGGCGATAGAGGAGGGAAGTGTGACAGACCCATCTACACGACCTGCCTGGGACTGCCATATATAGGTTGCATATATGCTAGCAGCTTGCGAAATAGATGTCTCCTAACTGGAAGACCCTGTCCCCGTACTGGATCTCCAGCCAGGAGTGTCCCCGACAGGAAGGACACTCCGGTGCATTGGTGGGGGAAAAGGGGTCCAGTCTCATGGAGTGCCATGGCGTGCCATGGAGTGCCACACTGCAGAATCGACGGTAGTATCGACAGACCCAGATATGCCCCCCCTACGGCGTCCGGTCGCCCTTAGAGGGTCCAAATCCTATCCGGAATTTGGGGTTCATGCCATGTCGGGTGGATTTTGCAAGTCTGTGTCAACCTTGTCTTGGAAGGCTATATATATCAACTAAGATACCTGTACCAGGTCTTTGGTCGGACCCGAATGAACCATACCAACACACCTCCTGGCGTACCTCCTCAGGTTCGGTATTTGGAACCTCCTGGCACCCACCCCAATCCCACCGAACCTCAGGTTCGGTACGACTGGAGGCCAAACAGGATACCGGCACAGTAATTACTTGCAAGTTTCGGTCTTCAGCACCTGGGTCCACTGGACTGAGTCCGGTCAGACAGTGAGACCAACAGGTCGACACCTTCAGACAGACGAGTCGAGGAACTGGCATGGATTCAGACGGAGACCTTTGACTCCTACAGCCTCTTCAACTTGGGTATCTTGGCACCTTGGCGGGAGAAAAGGAATCTCAAGCTTAATGTAGACCCAAAACCAGCACCCGACTCTACAGGTCACCAATTGAGACCTGAGACAGGGTCCAACAACCCTCAACTAACAGCCTGGCAGGGAGGCTGGAGGGTGCTGGTAGAGATGTCCAGTTCGACGATTTTGGGCACCGAAGTGTTCAGACTCCTGAACTCGGGTCTCCAAAAGATCTATTTGCTAAATTGTCTTGGACTTCCAAGTTGAATGAGACTCCGAATTTGGATTGTAAAATATTTTCAGATACGGGAGGTTGATGGGGGTTATATATTATGTTGTATTCAACCAGGAGTCTATAGACATCATTAAATATCATAATCATTAGAGTTAAAGGCAGAGGAGTTAGATGTTTATAGTGTTTGTCTTTTTGTGGGGTTTGCTGAACGACGGCCTTCCACCACTTCACCACTAGCTTCACCGCATCACCTGCCTCGTGCTGTGTGGGTCGTCTCCATTTTCACCACGGACACGGAGCGCTGTAGATCAAAGGTAGTTGGCAGGTCTCAGACCCATCCATTTGGACTGAAAGAGGGACACCGCCCCAACCCTATTGATCGGTAGATCGTCCAGTTCCATGGATTGCTTTTTGGGAGATTAAACACCTTACCCTATAAGAATCCTTGGGCCCTCTATGGCAGGGGTCGGACCTTCTCCACCGAAACGGGTAGCGCAAATCTGGACCCGAATCCAAACCCTGGCTTTGTTGCGAACCGGGCCTGGATTCTCAGGGTAAGAAACTAAGAACATGTTGGTCGCCCCAACAAACTAAAGACTTGAAGTATTCTCATGGATCGGGGCGTTCCAGGTCCGGATCGAGAAGCCCTACGGGTCGGGAATGAGCTCCATGTTACTGTCAGTCATACCACAACCCCAGTGGTCCTGCAGTTACCACTATATAAGGAAACAGGGTTTATAGGTATATGGTATGGCTTTAGTCTTTGGAACCACTGGTTACCAGCTATAGTAGTAACTGGATGCCCTGGGAACAGTACATTCAAAAAAGACGAGTTCAGGACCAGTGACTAGGGTCAACTGGACCTGTCGACCAGGAGACTAGGTTAGACAGGCCAGACTGATATAGGCCTCAGGGGTCTACCTCAACACA